GCAATTGGATAATGTGCATGTGTCCTGGTGTGTGGTCGTCACCGGGGTGAACGTTTTGGATGTCTTTTTCTCAGATCAGAGGGCGGTAGTTGTAGATTTGTATTGGAGAGGTTTGCCAAAACATTTCCGGGGATATTGGAAGTTGAATACAAGGCTACTTCAGGACACAGATGACAAGGTAATGTTTATGGGACTATGTGCGTCCATTAGAGTTGGAACTAGGAAGGGATGGGCTTTGATGAGATGGTGGGACAAGACCATGAAGCCCCTAATTGGGGATTTTTATATGCTTCAGGGTAGGGAGGCCAATCACATGGCGCATGGTTTCCTAGGGTATCTGGAGGGCCAGCTGCGGCAATGTTATGCACAGGGAAAGAGAGGTGGGGTTTACCCTGTGGAAGAGATTAAGGTCACTAAAGACCAGATTAGGTTATAAAAAAATGAGTGGTTCGATGGGACATGCATTGTGGGAGGCGTTGTGGAGGCCCTATGGGGTGATACGCCTTTGGCCTGCATGTTATGTGGTCAGATGAACAGGCATAAGGCGACGGAAATTATGAGATTAGTGGTGCATGAAGGGTTCGAAGGGTATGGTGTGGGTCAGGTACTGACGACAACTGAGGGTATGAGTTTTTATGTAGATGCATGGAGTAGGTGCCACACGCAGAGTAAGGGTGTGAATGAGGCAGCAATTCAGGAATTGGGAGGGGAATACAATGTAGGTTGGATGATCGTGACCGACATATCATGGGTGGGCCTATATCGGAAGCAGAGGGGATGAGTAAAGGGAAGGCACCGGGCATTAATGGCATCCCCTGCAAATTCTGTCTTCATCATTGGGAGGCGTTGCGATGTTTCTTGGTTCGCTTACTCAGTGCTATGAAGACGGAAGGAGTGTTAGGTGAGTCACAGCATATGGCGGTTTTGATCTTGGTACAGAAACGTGACGCACCATTGGTGATCAGGGACTACCGTCCCATATCACTGATGTGTTGCGACTACAAAATATATGCAAAGGCTTTGGCGAGCAGGCTTAATTAAGAAGGTGCTCAACAAAGTGATACATGTGGGGCAGTATGGTGTGCCAGGTAGGTCGATCTATGCGGGACATGGGGATATCAGGGATTCCATCATGGGATGTCGTGAGAGGGAGGGGGGTGTCCTGGCATTAGACTGGAGAGTGGGTTTTGATAGTGTGGAAAGAGAAGTCTTATTGAGGTTCATGAGATGGCAGGGATTTGGAAACGAGGTTGTCATGTGGGCCCATTCATTGTACAGTGGTGCTGGTTTTAAATGCAAATAAATGGGAGGTTGGGTGGGTTCGTCCAGCTAGGCAGGGGCATACAACAGGGTTGCCCCATGTCACAAATGCTCTCTGCTTGTTTGCAAGACCCATTTTACTGGGTAGTATGTGCAGGAGGTGCGGAGCCATCTTGGGGTTTGGGAAGAGCACGATCGGCCCTTGGGGGTTATGTAAACGACACAATTGTGCTCCTGCGAACGTAGGAAGGGTTACGTGATGTAGGGAGACTTGTTAGGTAAGACACATATGCAACAGTTAGGTATCTTTATTTTGAAACGTTTCGCCTACACAGTAGGCTTCTTCAGTCGAGTACAGAAAAGTTGATAGAAGCAGAAGATACTTGAAGACGATGTAATCAGTCCATCACCCTTAAAGTTTTGAGGTGGTGGACTGATTACATCGTCTTCAAGTATCTTCTGCTTCTATCAACTTTTCTGTACTCGACTGAAGAAGCCTACTGTGTAGGCGAAACGTTTCAAAATAAAGATACCTAACTGTTGCATATGTGTCTTACCTAACAACCTGTCGGTATTTTATACCATTTTAATGTTCAACCTGTAGGGAGACTTGTTGGTGTATTTGGTAAGGCAACAGGGCTTGGTGTTAATAGGAAAAAGTCGAAGTTTATAGAGTTGGGGGAGTGGGAGCGGAAGGGTGGACGGTGGTTGATCAGCTAACTATATGCGGTATTATACACAAATAACCCGCACATAAAAGAGAGAAGCTTACGACGACGTTTCGGTCCGACTTGGACCATTGACAAAGTCACACTAACAGAGGTGGAGCAGGACGGCTATATATAGGCAGGAAGAGGTGGTAGTAGTAGTAGTAGTAGTAGTAGTAGTAGTACAAGAATTGTATATAATACCGACAAGATGAAATTAAGACACATGCACAACACCCGGGCATCCCCATCGTAGACGTTTCGCCATCCAGCCAGCCACTGGATGGCGAAACGTCCACAACAAAGACAGCCAGACGCCGCACATGTGTCTTAATTTCAACAGTAGTTGTAGTAGAAGAAGAAGAGGTAGTAGTAGTGGTAGCGGAAGAAGTGGGAAATAAGGAAGACGAGCCAGTCAAATACAACGTCTACGATGGGGATGCCCGGGTGTTGTGCATGTGTCTTAATTTCATCCTGTCGGTATTATATACAATTCTTGTACTACTACTACTACTACTACTACTACTACTACCACCTCTTCCTGCCTATATATAGCCGTCCTGCTCCACCTCTGTTAGTGTGACTTTGTCAACGGTCCAAGTCGGACCGAAACGTCGTCGTAAGCTTCTCTCTTTTATGTGCGGGTTATTTGTGTATTGTTCCAGTCACGGTATTGTGCCTTTTTGTTATTTATATATGCGGTATTCATTATATGCGTGAGGTGGACGAGGCCAATGCATGCAATTCGGCGAGAGTGGTGGTCTAAGGCCGAGACATTTAACCCTGCATCAGAGGGCAGTCGTCATTAATGTCTTGTTTTACAGTAAAGTATGGCTCGTTGCTGCGATGTATCCTCTGCTGCAGGGGATGTCAAACGTCTGTTGCATAGGATCTATCAATTTTTGTGATGTTCGGGCTGCAACTGGCTAGCAAGGGCGGTTGTGGAGACACCACTGCACTGAGGTGGGTTAGGTGTCATTCCTCTGGAGGCACGTGTAATGGCGATCTATGTAAAACGTGGGTTCCTACGATTGGGTGGGACGCAGGGTGGGTTCATTCTATTGCACCAGGAACTGCGAAAGAGGTGGGGGGGGAGGGATTTGCTTGCGTGTGAGTCCATGTTGCGTGTATTGTTGCACGTGAGGGATGTATGGTGCATTAAATTAAGTACCTTGGAGAGGGAGGGTGGGTAGGGTGGTGGCTCTGGTGGAAGGTGTGTATCCCTTGTATGCGTGGGACAACATTTGGGGAGGGTTAAAACGCTGCATCTTGCGGCCAAAGTAAGGGAGGTGGTTTTTAAATTTTTGCATGGGATTTTACCGTGCGGAGGAGAGGAGTCTGCATTTCATGTTGTTTATTTCTGCGAAGGTTTAGGTGTGGTTCGTGAGTGGTTCGTTAGTGTTTTGCGTTTGGTGTGGGGGGCCGGATTATCATTGCTCCGGGCGTTAAGTTTTGATGTGGGTGGGATGGAAAAGATTCAGGGTGCAGTGTCGTATATGGTGGCTGATTATCTTTGTGTCGTGGGCAATGAGGCACATCGATGGTGCCAGTATGATTAAGGTTTTGGCGGGTATGTTTTACAGAACTAAATGTCGCAATAAGATAGTATATGGGTGGAGATGAGAGCGGGTTTACCCGTCGGTATATACTGCTTTACAGTTAAGGGATTTACGCTTGGTGTGATGTTCAGGAGTTTTATAACGGGCTGGTTGCAGTGTGTGTTCGTAGCTGTCAGTGTGAATGACAAATGTTAGAGTTTGCGTTCATAACGTTCTCGTATGTGAAGAGGAAGCATCATTATCGTATGAGTGTGCTTGCATGTTTCTGTGCAGATGTCATTTAGTATTCCAGCCACAAATGGGCTGCTTTTGGTGTATCCCCATTAGCCGGGTCCTTATATTATGCCTGTAACGTTGTCCTGTATTATGAACGTCGTGTACATCACTGGTACCAACAGGGTGTTGATTTGGTATTCTTGCTTTCTGTGTGATATTTATTGTCAGGAGGGGTATGTGTGTAATGTGATGAGTGCAAGTGGGACTTCTCCTGTCATGGTTATACGGTGGAGTGTGCTTCACACACCAATGTTATCGTTATTTATTTCATATTTATATATTATGCTGTAATGTACTGTTTTCAGTAGCACTATAAATATCTATGCACTGAACTTGGGCAATATTGTAATAGAGCTTGTACTTCATACTGGTAAAGTTATTATTAATATTTATCACTTGTATGTGTATAGTACTCTAACTGTAGAAGTGTACATGTGTTTAGGGATTTGTTTACGCTTTTGTTACTAGTATGTTATTTGTATGTTGTGTGACTTTGGTGTTCCTATACCACCAATGCTTGTAAATACTTATTACTTCAGTTGTTACCGACTTCAGGATATGTTACTAGATGAATATTTAATTAATGTTGTGATTCTTTTGGTTGGTGAAGGTGGATATGTGTGAGTGTGTGTGGGGGGGGGGGAGCAGCGTCAGCTGTTCGTCAGTACCGGCAATATTAATACTTTGTGTAATACCTGATATTGAAAGGTATGTTGTGGGATGTGTTGTTTAGGGTAGCAATACCACCGTTATGTATGGTGTGTTTATTTTCTGTCCTGTGGTTGTGACGGTTGGAGATTCTTGTTCATATCTAGTATCATAGTACCATTTGTACTATACGTTTATACCTCTGTATGTATTTTAGCAATTGTTTTAAATAAAATATAAAAAATACCGCATTACGGTAGTGACCGGGTGTGGACTGCTTATTACTTTGTTATTTGATTGTGACCATGTATGACGGGTGGATGATTTATTACATTTGTAATTTGTTCATGATTGTGACTAGATCTACCTGGAGTTCATTACCTTTGTATCTCGTTCAGCTATTATAACTTTGGGGTCCAGTCCCTGGACCAATTATGTACCTCTGTAAACCTTTGACTACCGCCCACACCATGGGTATGGTGTGCATAACAAAAATATTAAACTAAAAAAAAAAACTGCCTGACCAGACTGTAATATTAATTACCCTGACCTTGCATGTTTACCAGACGTGCGTCGCATCCCAGGCTCCAGAAGGCGGTGTCGGCAGACCGGAATGAGATGAAGAACTGGTCCTCTGCTTTTACTTTGGGAATTGGACCAGTTGTGCCGAGCTCTGTTAGCTTGTCATCACTGATGCCGCGCACCTCCATGACAACAGTCTCGTTGAACAGTATCACTCTGAGCCTGGTCCAAGAGGGGCTGCAACAGTGCCTGAAGGTAAGATTCCGGTGAGTCAAACTCTTAGTCTGTGTGTGCATTATGTTAAGCACTACCTGCAGGAGAGTCTCGTTGAGTCGCGGTGTCCACACCCACACATCCCTGTGCTCCCGTAATGGTACTATAGTGTTCAACTTATCGTCCGCCAGAGTCTCTTGCATCACACACCCTGCAACACACATGGACATCACACTAAAGCCTTCATTAATAATAAGTCACCACCAACTTGACTGATCACTGACCGGCCGTGATTAGTGGACGAAGAATCAAGTCTCTACACTTCTTGCGCTGAATGACCCACATTGGTTCAGTGGCTCACTAGATAATAACAGTATGTTGTTAACCATATTTAACAAATTTATTATTACCTTGAAAAGAAGCACAAAGCATGTCTACCACAATACAAATTATGTGAGGCTTAAATCTCTCCTACAGAACAGGTCATTGATGGAGACTCGCTCACCTGACGGACAGGAGAAGAAGAGGTAAACAGTGCCTCTCTTGCTGGTAACGCTGACGGTGATCTTCATTTCTGTGGACTGATGTTGTTGTGTCGTCGAGTGGAGGTTAATTATCAATGAGTTGTTGCTGTTGACCTCCTGTACAGTCAGTCTGGAGCCAGACACGAGCAGTGCCTGCCAGTCATTCATCCCCAGTGCCACCTTCACCAACTCCTTGTCCACTGCTGCTGCCACTGAAGAAGGAAGCAAAAACATAAAAAGACACGTGCATACACATAAGATATCTTTTTTTGGGAGCGTTTCGGTCCTAGGACCTTACTCAGCAGTCATCTAAACACCCCTTTTAGCCTACAGGAAATTAAGTTTTCATTCTAGTGTGTACCAAGAGGGAAAAATTGTCTTTACGGTACACGTAAGGTCATCAATATCATGTCTTACTACCGTGTAATGATCCTTGGTTGTTATGAACGGTGTATAAAGTGAAAAACTGAGCTGGGGTAGGCCCATGAATATTTAATATATGTGTCACCATCTGATTAAGTCCCATTCTGGGGAGACTTTCTTTTCCCAGTAGCTGAAGCCACAACAATCTTCATGTTTGTTCACAAACTACCCTAATGCGATGAGTTGGAAGAAAATCACCCATATCACTGCCGTAGTAGTCAGATAAGTCTGCTACCGTATCTGTTTTACAATCTACACACACACACACATGTACGTACTATCTCTAAATGTAGTAGAGGTGATGAGCATCCTTGCTTCTCCCATGCAGTGAGAATTTAAGCCGCGTGGTGATAGTGTAGTAGTGGTGTCGTCCAATGTTTTTGTAGAACGACTCAGGAGGGAGTCTGTGTCGTTGTCAATCCTCAAGAACACCTGGGGCCCCGACGCCCCCCACTGAGTGGTTCCAGAACGACCGGCGAACCAGGCACCAAGTCGTTCACTGCGAAAGTCGTTGCGGAACGTAAAAGGGAAAAGGGGTTATAAATAAAAATGGCCCTGGCGGGTCAATGTATTAATCTCACGTGAGCGGGTAAACACGCAAGGGGTCTTTCAAGGAGTCGTGGAGGCTCGTTCCACCGTCTACTAATAAGACAGAAACGCTTCCCTTTTCTTTTTATTAACCTGGGGACGTGGAATATGTCGATTAAAAAAAACGCTTCTCTGAGAGTTCATTAACAATACTGTGTACAAAATATAATTTATAGAAAAAGTATTAGGTTAAGCATTACTCCCCGGAACACTGTATTTAATATAAATGTGTGTGGAAACATGCCTAGCGGAGGTGATGTTTTTACAAAAGTTTGATGACAACAACAAAGACAGAATAGCTGCACGACAAGCTTACATTGGGCCAAACATTCCGCGCAGTGTAGAGCTTTATCAAGTCTGAGGGAGGATGTCTTGAGGAACACTACCTGAAGGAGGGGGTGTTGAGGAACACTATCCAAGAGAGGGTGTGTTGGGAACACTATCTGAAGGAGGGTGTGTTGAGGAAACACTACCTGAAGGAGGTGTGTTGAAGAACACTATCTGGGGGAGGGGGTTGAGAAACACTACCTGAAGGAGAGTTGTGAGGAAAATTTCAGAAGGGGGTATTTTGAAAAAATGGACAAATTGGACAAATGTGACACCCCCTACGAAAAAACATTAAAAGGGTAAAAAATACACAGGTTGTAGGTAAGACACTATGAAAAACAGTTAGGTATCTTTTTTTCGAAAGTTTCGCTAACAGTAGGTTTTTCAGATGGGGGACGGGGCCCCTAAAAACTTTAAGGGTGATGGATGTTTCATGTCTTAAAGTTCTTCTGTTCTATAAATTTTCTGTATCGATGAAAAACCCTACTGTGTAGGCGAAACGTTTCGAAAAAAGATACCAAATTTTGTTTTGTGTCTTCCCTAAAACCTGTGGGGATTTTACCATTTTAATGTTAAACTGTCAGACACTGCAAACAAGGGGATCTTGGTACCGACTGAAAACAACTTCGACAACCTTACTGTGGAACGGCTGGATTGAGGGGAGACCTTCCAAATTTGCGTTCTATAGTGCGTAGTTCACTCCTGGCGCTATTTAAGGCTCCTCCCGTCCTTTACTTATTGTTTAGATACGGAACAATGCTCTTCTCCAGATGAGGGACTGACCCCCTCAAAACTTAAGGGTGTGGATGATTTCCGTCTTAAACTTTCTGCTTTTATAACTTTCTGTACTTGACTGAAGAAAACTACTGTGGGCGAAAAGTTTTGAAATTAAAAATACCCAATGTTGCTATGGTTTACCCACCCCTACGACTGCTGCCCCTCACCTGTCTACGGTTTATAAGCTGCTTCTCCGCTCATATGCCGTATTCTATTCAAGATTGTTGGACTGACCACATCGACTCAAGGCTGAGGGACTGATTACCTCATTCTCCTCCTGTTCTTCTAATTTCTCCTTTGTATGGACTGATGAAACCACTGCGTGGCGAAACGTTTCCTCAATAAAGATACCCAAGAGTTGCACATGTGTCTAATTCAACAACATGTCGGTTCTCCGAACCATTCATCTACAGATTATGCTGCTCAGTTTTGGTCCCCTTACTACAGGATGGATATAGACTCATTAGAGAACATACAGAGAAGAATGACTAAAATGATTTACTGTGTAAGGAACCTCCCGTATGAAGATAGACTTAAAGCCTTAAATCTCCACTCTCTGGAGAGGCGTAGAATGAGGGGAGATATCATTGAAGTGTATAAGTGGATGACGGGCATAAACAAGGGAGATATTGATAAATTAGACACATGTGCAACTCTTGGGTATCTTTATTGAGGAAACGTTTCGCCACACAGTGGCTTCATCAGTCCATACATAGGAGAAACTCGAAGAACAGGAGGAGAATGAGGTAATCAGTCCCTCAACCTTGAGTCGATGTGTTCAGTCCATCAATCTTGAGTAGAATACGGCATATGTGTCTTACCTAACAGCACAAGCTAGTCAGGTCCAACTCACACCCACCCACACCCACTCATGTATTTATCTAACCTATTTTTTAAAACTTATAGGGGGATAAGTCTGTTGAGTATACCTGGTAAAGTGTATGGTAGAGTTATTATTGAAAGAATTAAGAGTAAGACGGAGTATAGGATAGCAGGTGAACAAGGAGGCTTTAGGAAAGGTAGGGGGTGTGTGGACCAGGTGTTTACAGTGAAACATATAAGTGAACAGTATTTAGATAAGGCTAAAGAGGTCTTTGTGGCATTTATGGATTTGGAAAAGGCGTATGACAGGGTGGATAAGGGGGCAATGTGGCAGATGTTGCAGGTGTATGGTATAGGAGGTAGTAGTTGTGCAAGAATGGTATATAATACCGACAAGATGAAATTAAGACACATGTGCAACATCTGGGTATCTTTATTGTAGACGTTTCGCCATCCAGTGGCTTTATCAATACAAATTCTAGGACATAACTTGAAGACAGTAAGACTATGTACAGAAAATGAGGTAATCAGTCCCTCAACCTAGGAGTAGGTGCGAAGAGCACCGTAGTCGTGGAGATTCTGAAGCAGAAGCAAGGAGCCTGGCGCTTATATAGTAACGTCAGGTGTAGCAGACGAAGGCATAGTCACTGGTAGGCGGGATTCCCCAGTGGAAGTAGGTCCTTCCCAAAGAGATGGGTTAGTTGTAGTAGTAATTGTCGTAGTCGTGAAGGTTATGTACCTGTCCTCAGAATCAAGATTCCATGATGTTGCAGTGTCTGACAAGTTGTGCAAGAATGGTATATAATACCGACAAGATGAAATTAAGACACATGTGCAACATCTGGGTATCTTTATTGTAGACGTTTCGCCATCCAGTGGTTTTATCTATACAAATTCTAGGACATAACTTGAAGACAGTAAGACTATGTACAGAAGATGAGGTAGGTTACTGAAAGCAGTGAAGAGTTTTTACGAGGATAGTGAGGCTCAAGTTAGAGTATGTGGGAAAGAGGGAAATTATTTCCCGTAAAAGTAGGCCTTAGACAAGGATGTGTGATGTCACCGTGGTTGTTTAATATATTTATAGATGGGGTTGTAAGAGAAGTAAATGCGAGGGTCTTGGCAAGAGGCGTGGAGTTAAAAGATAAGAATCACACATAAAGTGGGAGTTGTCACAGTTGCTCTTTGCTGATGACACTGTGCTCTTGGGAGATTCTGAAGAGAAGTTGCAGAGATTAGTGGATGAATTTGGTAGGGTATGTAAAAGAAGAAAATTAAAAGTGAATACATGAAAGAGTAAGGTTATGAGGATAACAAAAAGATTAGGTGATGAAAGATTGGATATCAGATTGGAGGGAGAGAGTATGGAGGAGGTGAATGTATTCAGATATTTGGGAGTGGACGTGTCAGCGGATGGGTCTATGAAAGATGAGGTGAATCATAGAATTGATGAGGGAAAAAGGGTGAGTGGTGCACTTAGGAGTCTGTGGAGACAAAGAACTTTGTCCTTGGAGGCAAAGAGGGGAATGTATGAGAGTATAGTTTTACCAACGCTCCTATATGGGTGTGAAGCATGGGTGATGAATGTTGCAGCGAGGAGAAGGCTGGAGGCAGTGGAGATGTCATGTCTGAGGGCAATGTGTGGTGTGAATATAATGCAGAGAATTCGTAGTTTGGAAGTTAGGAGGAGGTGCGGGATTACCAAAACTGTTGTCCAGAGGGCTGAGAAAGGGTTGTTGAGGTGATTCGGACATGTAGAGAGAATGGGGCGAAACAGAGTGACTTCAAGAGTGTATCAGTCTGTAGTGGAAGGAAGGTGGGGTAGGGGTCGGCCTAGGAAAGGTTGGAGGGAGGGGGTAAAGGAGGTTTTGTGTGCGAGGGGCTTGGACTTCCAGCAGGCATGCATGAGCGTGTTTGATAGGAGTGAATGGAGACAAATGGTTTTTAATACTTGACGTGCTGTTGGAGTGTGAGCAAAGTAACATTTATGAAGGGGTTCAGGGAAACCGGCAGGCCGGACTTGAGTCCTGGAGATGGGAAGTACAGTGCCTGCACTCTGAAGGAGGGGTGTTAATGTTGCAGTTTAATAACTGTAGTGTAAAGCACCCTTCTGGCAAGACAGTGATGGAGTGAATGATGGTGAAAGTTTTTCTTTTTCGGGCCACCCTGCCTTGGTGGGAATCGGCCAGTGTGATAATAATAAAAATATTTTTTTTTAAACTACACAACGTTTTAGCCTGAATAAATGTACTCGGGAGTTTGTTCCACTCGTCCACAACTCTATTACCAAACCAGTGCTTTCCTATATCCTTCCTGAATCTGAATTTTTCCAACTTGAAACCATTGCTGCGAGTCCTGTCTTGCCTGGAAATTTTCAGCATGCTATTTACATCCCCTTTATTTATTCCTGTTTTCCATTTATACACCTCGATCATATCACCCCAAATTCTACGCCTATCGAGAGAGTGCAGATTCAGGGCCCTCAGTCTGTCCTCATATGGAAGATTTCTGATACATGGGATCATCTTTGTCATCCTCCTCTGTCCGTTTTCCAGAGCATTTATATCCATTCTGTAATACGGTGACCAGAACTGAGCAGCATAGTCTAAAGGAGCCCTAACCAAGGATATATAGAGTTGAAGAACAACCTGAGGACTTCTATTATTTACACTTCTTGATATGAAGCCAAGGATTCTGTTAGCTTTATTGCGAACACTAATGCACTGTTGTCTTGATTTTAGATTACTGCTAACCAGAACTCCTAAATCCTTTCCGCAATCAGTAGTATTAAGATC